TGTTTGTATACCCCCGTTTACAATCACAAGGCAGCGTTAGTTCACAACACTTTGATTAACACATCAGTGATTCGTTCCTGAATTCATGCATAAACTGTCTGCGAGAGATCCCGGAAGACGAGCCCCCATTATGTTGTATATGTTGGGTTAAGAAAATTTGTTATGTTGTATGCGTGCGTGGGTGAAATTATTATGTTGTACCTGTGTGTTATGAATATTCAGTGAAAATAATAATTATTAAATGAAATCTGGCCAAATGTGTAATTATCCGGAAATATGTTAATTTATGTAATTACGCACATTTTAATTATGCCAATTCGAGAGGTAATCGGATTAATTATGCGAGTGGGTGTAATTATGATAATACAAGTCGTTATGATAACCGGACCCCGCCTCGGTGACGAGGGTGGGTTATCGATCGGAAGAAGGCAATTAATCGTATGCAGTTATGCAGGTGTGGTGTAAGTATGCAAGATTAACTTAGATTAACTCGGCATCGTTGTCTAGGTTCGTCTCATTCTCGCTTTAACATTCCCAGAGTTTTATTCGTGGTTATATTTTTAGGTCCCCGGTTCACCCCGTTATCGCTTTAACATTTACTGAGTATGTATTAGTGTGTTTATTAAGGTCACCAAGTTCAAATCTCAACGCAGAAGCAGATCTTATGCATAGATTTCAGGAAAGAATCACACAACCACTTCTGTATTGATCAATTTATTACTAATTCAACCTTAACTATGATATAATATGCGAACTCTCAATCCCGGAACGTCAACACGGCATCAATACAGTATCATCAACGATTGTCTGATTTCACTTTGACAACTGCACATGGATCCCGCATAACGCGATGGTTGTTAGTGAGAGAGAGAGTCGTTAAAACACGCAAATACTATGCTAAGAAAACCTTAATGTTAATGAATGATTATACTCAATATTGTTCATAACGCGATGGTTGTTAGTGAGGGAGAGAGTCGTTGAAATATGCAAATACTATGCTAAGAAAACCTTAACGCTAATGAATGATTATACTCAATATTGTTCATACAGTACCACACTCCTTATTGACCATACGCAACCCTTATCACGTTGTTAACACCTTGGGTCACGGGACAGTTGAATATTCTGTAGAGGATGCGAGTACGTGCGGCGATTATGACTGAAAGATACTTGAAAGATTATACGGCGATAAAACACAATCAAAAACAGTTATTATTCTTAAAGGCACCAATCTCAACAGATACATCGGCAAGTTATCTGACAACAGAACGGCCCGGAGTAAGGGCCTGCGACGGTGCTCCTTTTCCGAAGCTCGTTATCTTATACCAAGTTTACTAATTGGGGACCAGATCACCTGATAAGGATCCGGTGGGCCACCACTCCCCACGTGAGCGTGGCTCGGCGGAAGGAGGTGCCAAGAATCAGTTCGTATTGATGGATCTGTTGGGAATTTATGCGATTAAGAGTACAGCCCACTAAATATTAAAGATAAAAATTAAGAATACTCTTATAAACGACGGAGGGCCATCACTCGGTCTCGTTGCGATGCTTTCCAGCCACGGATGGCTTATGGGTTCGAGTGTTTTTGAGTGGTAAGAGTTGTCTTGAATAGTCAGTGTTCGGAGTCGATTCTTTAGGTCAAACAGACGCCTGGTGGTCGTGTGGTGAGGGGGCGGTGCGCGTCATACGTATCAGTTGATCCCCTGTCACCGTGGCGAACTGGTTCGGATGCCCGTTGATACGCTGTCGCAGTTCGGAACCCGGTCGGTAGGTGGCGCCCACAACTCGCTCGTAGCGTGCAGCTCTGGGTTGTCGCCGATCCGCGATGCTCACCACTCCGGTGGCAGCAGAGACCCCCGATTCGGCAGAGGTTGACGAGCTGAAGATGAGTCGAGCCGACCCGCTGGTCGCAGCTCGCTCCTGAGTCGACCCTCCCGGTCGAGCTCGCTCCTGGGTCGACCCGCTGGTCGCCCTCGCTCCTGAGTCGACCCTCTGGTCGCACTCCTGAGTGGACCCGCTGGTCGCACTCCTGAGTGGACCCACTCTGGTCGCACTCGTTCCTGAGTCGACCCTCCCGTCGCACTGATTTCCAATGCTCAGGATCCTTTACTTTATGCCGAAAATTCCCCCTGGATCCCGCCCACAAGGCGGGACTTCTTTCGATTTTTGCTGTGTCAGGATCTGTCCGTAGGCAGGTGTGTCCACATGTGTGTCCGTACGTCCGTATGTCCTTGTGTGCATCACTCACGGTATTCCGTTGTCCCACTCCCTCCATAAAACCCACGAGCAAACAATCAGATGTTACAAATTGCCTCGAGGTCGTCTCTCTGTCTGGGCGCAACATTATCTCCTGTCTGGCCTTCCCCATGAACCCAAAACACAGACGTCACAAATGTCTCATAGGCGTCTTTGTTCGCACCACCTGGAGGGAGGGGCAACGCTCTCTCCGACCCGGCGCACAAAGAAATGGCCAAAAGTTTTAAGTTAACATTTGTCCCTTACTATTTCACAGCCATGATTCCGCATGTAACCCAAGGTCTGTCGTTTCCCATCGTGGTGCCCGACCCAAGTGGAGGCGTCTCCCCGAGCGTACACACACTCCCATCCCGCGCTGCGGGGATACAAAGACGGCCGGGATCTCCCTTTCTCTCCGACCCTGGGTTTAACATCGTTTTTTATTATGTATTTATATTCGACCTGGTGGTGATTCATCCCGTTATCCTGGCTTTTCATAAGTTTTACTTTTGTCTTTTCATGCATATGCTTCGGGTCGAGTTGTATAGAAAGCATTAAAGTATGGAAATAACATTTCATATTGACTTAATGATGGTGATGGTTCAGTAGGCGTACTTGTGACCTGGTTTAATTGGAGTGGGTGTGAATATCAAACTTTAGCCTACCCTGTTGTTAAATTCCGACTTTAACGTTACTTTAATAGCAATACAGAATAATTGAGCTTTTTGTCTTAACTAGGCGAACGCGAACTTCTGGTGACCCCCGCACTGTCTCTGCCTCCCCCCCTGTGCACACAGCCTTGAGCTGACCCACTTAATTTAATTCTTGGCCTTCTTGGGTTTATCTATGTTTCCTCAGCTGCAGGAGAACAAGGCGTGCTTCTACCTCCCTTTCTGTGTGCACGTGTTCTAATTAGCTCGGAATCCCTAACACACAATCAGTGATGATTCCTGGCTTTCTGTGGTTATGACTTAGACAAAGGCGCCTCTGCTTCCTTTCACTGCCTTTGCCTTGAAGCAAGGTTGCAATTCTGTCATCCTAGCCCTCCTCTCGTTCATTACTTAACAACACCTGGTGTTTTGCAGTTTGGTGCGCTTTGGTGTGTTTCACTCATTAAAAAAAACAAGTAAAAAGATAATATATAAAAATCATCAAATATTATTAATCTCAATTATGGAAGAAGGGTTAGGATACAACATTAGGAAGGGTAAGGGAGTAATTAGGATGTACGCCGCCAACGTCGCTCACTGATTAGCATATCAACAGCGCCCGGGAACCGCCGTGCGCGGGCTTGGGGTGCACGAGCCCATTGTTCAGCGCAGCATCCCCTTTGAGGTAGGGAGGATAAATAGAGGAGCGCAGAGGGGAAATCGCTCTCTTCTCTCTAGCGCCAGGCGACAGGACGCTCTCCAGTCCAGCGACCCGATCGTCCGTGAGACGCATCGAGGTACGCTGCGAGCACGGGATCAACGAACCGCCGTGGGCATCCAGCAGGAAGTAAGTAGGTGAATTAGAATCATAGCAGATAAATCGGGAATAGGTATAAAGGTATCAGCGTAGGCCAGCCTCGTCGACTCACTGATTTAACATTAAATTACCAGGTATCAGATAATAAATCATTAATAGCGAAGCGTGGTCTCGCGTGATATTGTCGTGCAGTGTGAGCGTGTGGGTGCGCGTGTGTACACTGTGGTTCACCACGTGAGTGAGCGCTGCGTAGAGCGGCGCACGAGTGGGTGTCGCGTGTGTGCAGGTGTGTGCGCTCGTAGTGTGGGTGAAGGGGTCGGTGCGTCCGCAGGTCCCCGATCCGTCTGTCGCCGCCGGGACTCGCGCAGTGTGAGGGCAGCGTCGTTCGCCCCCGACCCCCGTTTAATAGCGCGTGATCCGTGGAGAGACAATGCAGCGTCTGCAGGTGAACGAGGGCGTGCGGCGAGCTATGCCTCTCACACGAGCTCGCGGAGGGACGGACCAGGGAGGGGAGCCGTCGGGCGATGAGCCCAGCGACGGCAGCAGCTGCTCGCAGAGCAGCGAGGGGTCGGCGCACGGCGGAGCCCCTGCCATAGGCACGGAGCAGGGAGGGACTCCGGGGACCAGCGGCCCCAACACTATTACAGACGCCTTTCTATTTGGGTACGTTATGGACAAGGGTGCGCCGGAGAGGTTGTGCCACACGGTGAGTGAACAACAATCTGATTGGGATTTGCATATCCCTGGGGTACTTTCGGCGTACCGGATGATGCCGCATGCGGCTACAGGATATTCGCCGTTTTTCCTTATGTACGGTCGTGAAAACGTGCCGCCGATGGATGTACAGTTGGGAACTGGAGTGAGGAGACCTGCTAAGCCTCTTCCTGATTATATTCAGGACACCGTTCACCGTGTTACTGAGGCGCGGGAGGGGGCCCGCATGGCTACGGCCAAAGCCCAGGCCCGGAACGAGCGGTGTGCTCGACGCTCTAAGGGGGAGTGCCCCTGGAAGGTTGGGGACCTGGCCTGGCTCCATTGCCCACAGGTGCGGCCAGGTACCTCTCCTAAATTACATAAACCATGGCAAGGGCCGGTTCGCCTCATCGAGGTTCCCAACCCACAGTCGGCGCGTGTTCGGGTTGGATCTCGGCGTTGGTTCGTTCACACGTCGCGCTTGAAGCCATATGTGGCCCCTCTACCTGATGCGTCATCTCCTGATGTTGCCTTGCCGGGGTCTGTTGCTGCCAACTCACCCTTGCCTGTGCCTGTTGATCTTGCAAGAACGCCTGTCGTGCCTGTTACAGACAAGCTGGCCGTGACACCGCAGGGGATGAGGGGCTGTGCTCGGGGGGTGCCTGCCACGGCTGCGGGAACTCCGAGCCCCGCGGCCCTTCCGACCCCGCTGCGGACACGAGTGCGGGACACCTCCGACGCTGAGCCTTCGGGGATACGGGACCGGGACGTTGGCGGGCCTCCAATAGTGACAGGAGGACTTCATCCTGTCGCTCCTAAAACCCCGTCACGTTCCCGGTCTGCGGGGGGGCTGCCGACCGTCCGGGACGGGCCGGCGACCCACACACCCTTGAAATCCCTTACATTTCGTTGAATTTTATTGTTGTGTTCTTGTTCTTACTGTTATATTTATTGTATGCTTCGTTGTCCTTCGATGTGTCTTGGCCGTGTTTGCTCACATTACTTGTTGTCGTTATTGTTCAGCTGAGGTTGGCTGGATTTCTCTACGGGGGAGGGTGGTGTAATGCGGGCGTAAACGGCCTCGCGGATGTGACGTCACGGGCGGAGGAGTTAGGTCACGTGGGGGAGAGGGATCAAGTCTTAAGGGGGAGAAACCGGAAGACAAGGGAGAGAGTTGTTGAGAGATATAGAGTGAGGCCACGCAGGGCGGAGGTTGGAGGGTGGCGAGATCGCCACACACCCAGGATAAGACTCGGCACCGTCGGCCAGCGGTGACCGAGCACGGAGGAACGGGGAGCCGGCTGAGGCTGCAGTGACTGCAGCCAGAGGCCTGCACGAGGAGATCAGCAGCGGAGCTGCATCAGAGTGGAGTGAGAGGCTACGGGAGCGACGGCAGCATCGGGCTGCCAAGCAGGGGAGTCTCTAAGAGAGAGCCGTGTGGGACAAGTGTAAAGAACCCGAATAAAGGACAACGAAGACAGACACAGTGATCGAGTCCTTTATTACACATGTGTTGTTGTTGGTTCGCCTCGCCCCCCTCTCTCGGTGTGTGTACATATGTTCTCGCAGTAATTATTATCGTTGCCGGTTTATTGTTGATGTTGTTGTTGGAGGCACACTGGTTTTCTGTATTGTCACAGCCGGGACGGCTGTTTTTTTGCATGGGGGAGGGTGAGATAATGATTGTGGTATCATTACTGTGTACACACGCACACGTATGACGTCACTGTGCCGGGAGCGTTACTACCACGTGGGTCGACACACACATGACGTCAAGGCCGGTGCTGGACACGTGACCGGATCCCAGTGGGGGCCGGGGGTCCAGGGGGCCCTCGGGTGGGCATGGGTTGACTGTTGTGCCAGGCTGGGTACAGGAGGAGATCAGGGGACAGACCCAGCTGGTGCCATGGGTTGACTGCTGTGCCAGGCTAGGTACAGGAGGCGGTCAATGGACAGACCCAGCAAGTGCCATGGGTTGACTGCTGTGCCAGGCTAGGTGCATCTGACGACAAACATCTGGGCAGTTCACCATCATTGGTTCAAGCAGAGCTTGTCTCTTGCTTCTGCTGATGAGACACGGAGCTGGGCAGACTCCAAATACATAGCAGCAGCAGGCATCGTCAGGGTTGGAATTGAACCCACGACCTCCTGTGTACCAGGCGAGGTAGTTAACATCACATCAGGGTCGGAATTGAACCCACGACCACCTGCGTACCAGGCGAGGTAGTTAACATCTCATCAGGGTCGGAATTGAACCCACGACCTCCTGTGTACCAGGCAAGGTAGTCAACATCTGGACCCAAGTCACCTCAGACCCCAGGCCGCAGCAACTCGCCACAACAAACACAATTGCAACGTTCTGTTAAATCCGCTTATTTATTAACAACAACAATCGATAAACAAACAATGGTCTAGATATATATGTACACATTACATTATAACTTTTTCTTATCTCTATCCTAACTCTTCACACGTGCACGTGGCTAGGCAGGCTCTAGTCCATTGTGTGGTGAGTGTGGCTGGTGAGTGTGGGTGGTGAGTGTGGTGAGTGTGGGTGGTGAGTGTGGGTGGTGTGTGTGGGTGGTGAGTGTGGCTGGTGAGTGTGGCTGGTGGGTGTGGGTGGTGAATGTGGGTGGTGAGTGTGGGTGGAGAGTGTGGGTGGTGAGTGTGAGTGTGTGGTGAGTGTGGCTGGTGAGTGGCTGGTGAGTGTGGCTGGTGAGTGTGGCTGGTGAGTGTGGGTGGAGAGTGTGGCTGGTGAGTGTGGGTGGTGAGTGTGGGTGGTGAGTGTGGTGAGTGTCGGTGGTGAGTGTGGGTGGTGAGTGTGAGTGGTCAGTGTGGGTGGTGAGTGTAGGTGGTGTATGTGGTGAGTGTGGTGTGGTGAGTGAGTGTGGTGAGTGTGGGTGGGGAGTGTGGGTGGTGAGTGAGTGTGGTGAGTGTGGATGGTGAGTGTGGGTGGTGAGTTTGGGTGGTGAGTGAGTGTGGGTGGTGAGTGTGGGTGGTGAGGATGGGTGGTGAGTGTGGTGAGTGTGGTGAGTGTGGGTGGTGAGTGAGGTGTGGTGAGTGTGGATGGTGAGTGTGGGTGGTAGTGTGGTGTGGTGAGTGTGGGTGGTGAGTGTGGTGTGGTGAGTGTGGGTGGTGAGTGTGGTGAGTGTGGGTAGTGAGTGTGTTGAGGGTGGGTGGTGAGTGTGGTGAGTGTGGTGAGTGTGGGTGGTGAGTGTGGGTGGTGAGTGTGGGTGGAGAGTGTGGGTGGTCAGTGTGGTCAATGTGGGTGGTGAGTGTGGGTGGTGAATGTGGGTGGTAAGTGTGGTGAGTGTGGGTGGTGAGTGTGGTGTGGTGAGTGTGGTGTGGTGAGTGTGGTGAGTGTGGCTGGTGAGTGTGGGTGGTGAGTGTGGGTGGGTCGGGAGTGTGGTGAGTGTGGGTGGTGAGTGTGGGTGGTGAGTGTGCGTGGTGAGTGTGGTGAGTGTGGGTGGTGAGTGTGGGTGGTGAGTGTGGGTGGTGAGTGTGGTGAGTGTGGGTGGGTGAGTGTGGGTGGTGAGTGAGTGTGGTGAGTGTTGGTGGTGAGTGTGGGTGGTGAGTGTGGGTGGGGAGTGTGGTGAGTGTGGATGTGAGTGTGGGTGGTGAGTGTGGGTGGGGAGTGTGGTGAGTTTGGGTGGTGAGTGTGGGTGGTGAGTGTGGTGAGTGTGGGTGGATGAGTGTGGGTGGTGAGTGTGGGTGGTGAGTGTGGGTAGTGAGTGTGACAGGTGAGTGTGGGTGGGGAGTGTGGTGAGTGTGGGTGGTGTGTGTGGGTGGGGAGTGTGGGTGGGGAGTGTGGTGAGTGTGGGTGGTGAGTGTGGGTGGTGAGTGTGGGTCCACTCCGCTACTCTGCCGTGGGCCGCCCACCACAGAGCAGCAGGCGGCTGAGCAGCGAGCGGAGTGAGCGGAGCGCCCTGCCCACACGCGCCAGGACCCCTCGCTCCCTCTCCCCCTCCTCCTCCTCTTCCTCCTTCTCCTCTTTATCCTCCTCCTCGTTGTCGTCATCCTCCTCCTGCGTCTCCACCACCTCCACCACCTCCGTCCTCTCTCCAAAGGTCTGGGTGAGCGACGATGATGACGATGGCGATAGGAGCTTCTCCTCCGGCTCCGCTCTGTGGAGAGAGAGGCAGCAGCACCACAGCAGCGCATCATCGTCATCATCATCATCGTTATCATCATCAACATCGTCATCAACATCGTCATCATCATCGTCGTCATCATCATCAACATCGTCATCATCGTCGTCGTCATCACCATCGTCGTCGTCATCGTCGTCGTCATCGTCGTCGTCATCATCGTCATCATCATCGTCGTCATGATCATCGTTATCATCATCGTCATCATCAGACCCACAGAGACCCATAGACCCACAGTGACCTATAGACCCACATAGACCAGAAGCCACTTGGCCATCTCAGCTGATAGCCGAATCAAGTGGGCTGATAACATCATCACCTTCTTCATCGCGTGGACATTCATAGCGGCAGTCAATTACTCGAAGTGCGTGACGCCGATTCTAAACGTGGAGGGGAAAATCTGCAGGACCCTGAGAAGAATCCACGTGGTGACCACCACGGGGACAGAAACGCAAAATGCAAAAATACAGCAACGCAGGCATCGTCAGCATCGGGATCGAGCCCACGACCTCCTGTGTACCAGGCGAGGTAGTTAACATCTCATCAGGATCGAATCCACTACCTCCTGTGTACCAGGCGAGGTGGTTAACATCTCATCAGGATCGAACCCACAACCTCCTGTGTACCAGGCGAGGTAGTTAACATCTAATCAGGGTCGGGATCGAACCCACGACCTCCTGCGTACCAGGCGAGGTAGTTAACATCTAATCAGGGTCGGGATCGAACCCATGACCTCCTGCGTACCAGGCGAGGTACACAGAGAGAGGCTCACCGCGGCTGAGCAGCTGCAGAGCCTTGCACAGGAGTGGTGCCACCGCCGCTGCTGCTGATGGTGGTGGTGGCCCAGCGGGTGGTGTCGGCCCAGCTGGTGGTGGTGGCCCGGATGGTGGTGGTGGCCCAGTTGATGGGCCGATTGTAGATGATGGGAGTGGTGGTGGCGGTGGTGGGGGTGGCCCAGCTGGTGGTGGTGGCCCGGGTGGGGGTGGTGACCAAGATGGTGGTGGTGGCCCGGATGGTGGTGGTGGTGGGGATGGCCCGGGTGGTGATGGTGGCCCGGATGGTGGTGGTGGTGGCCCGGATGGTGGCGTTGGTGGTGATGGCCCGGATGGTGGCGGTGGTGGGGATGGCCCGGGTGGTGGTGTTGGCCCGGATGGTGGTGGTGGTGGCCCGGATGGTGGCAGTGGTGGGGATGGCCCGGGTGGTGGTGGTGGCCCGGATGGTGGCGGTGGTAGCCCGGATGGTAGTGGAGGTGGCCTCACTGGCGGTGGTGGCCCGGGTGGTGGTGGTGGCCCGGGTGGTGGTGGGGGTGGCCCTGCTGGTGGTGGCCCGGATGGTGGTGGTGGTTTGGAGCCAGCTGTGAGCCAGCGCCTGCTCAGGCGTCATCCGGAGATTCGGATCCCATCTGTTGGGAGACGCACGGGGAGGGAGGGAGGGGAGGAGTGGGGGAGAGACGCACACGTGGTGAGAGGGGTATGGTGAGATGATTTGACAGGGTGGGAGGTGGGGGAATAGTGGGGAGAGGGGGGGGATGGAGAAGGTGGGAGGGAGTGGTGGTGGGTAGTGGGTGGCAGAGCTGTCAACCCGTACGGATTATTCCATATTCTTGTACACGGAAATTGAGTTTTCAGATCCGTACGGAGTGCAGCCGTTTCAATTCTGGGTAAAAATAATAATTTGTGTCTATTTGTTTGTGTTTGTCCCTTGTGATGGGACTTTGCAGGATGAACGTTGAGATTTATAAGGGGCACGGAGTAACCGACAATGTCTGAGTTGGGTCTGTTGTAAGGTAGGGCACTGATAAGGTGTTGACAGGTATGGGGTGGTGAGTGGGGGTGAGTGAGTGGGGGTGAGTGGTGTGGGGATAAGTGGAGATAAGTGGGGGTGAGCGAGGGGTGAGTGTGGTTCGTACTGCAGGCAGCGGCTGACGAAGTCCACCAGCTGAGGGTGGTGGCCCTGCAGCGCACGGTGCAGGGGGAGGCTTCCTGGTGGCCGCTGCTTGGACATGTTTTTGGGGAGGCCCTCAGAGTCTGCAGAGAGACGCATGCAGAGTCACCAACCACCACGTCGCCCACATACCTGCTCATCCACTTACCTACCCACCTACCTATCCACCTACATACCCACTCACCGAACCACCTACATACTACCAACCAACCTACCTAACCACCCTACACACCCACCCAATCACTCACCTGCCCACTTACCCACCTACCCTCACACCGACCCACTCACCCACATACGCACTTACCCACCTACCCACTCACTCACCCACCCACCCACTCACTCACCTACCTACTCACCCACCCACTCACTCACCTACCTACTCACCTTCCCAACCACTCACTCACTCACCCACCTACTCACTCACCCACCCACTTACCCACCCACTCACCTACCCACCCACTCGCTCACTCACCCACCCACCTATGCTTCCGAACGCCTGCTACTGAGAGCCCAAAACCCCACCCCACCCACCACCCCCGAGATAATCAGAGCCCCCCCCAGCCCCCCCCCACAAAATAACCCTATAAGAGCCTCACTGCCACCCCACCTAACAAAACAGAATGGGTTACGTCGCTTGCGCCAGCCTGCTCGAGCCCCTCGACTCACCAAAGAAAAGAATCCTTTTTGGGGCGTCGTCCACCATCTTTTTCGGGGGCATGCCCAGGATCTGCGCATGGTTTCGGACGAAGACAAAAGGAGGAGGGGGGGGGGGGTTACAGCCGGTGGAGCCTCAGCGGGCCCATTGGGGCAAATACTGCATGTCAGCGGTGAGTCGTGGTGGAGGCAGCGCCTGTGGAGGCCGGCACTGTGTACAAAGACAACAATCCCCGCTTCCCCGTATTATCCTCATCTCATTGCACACGAGGGGGTGGGTGCCCAGTGCCACGCCCGGCCACCTTTGTCTCCCCCAGTGGAAATGTTTACTACACACTGCTACACCAGGTACAGTAGAACCTCTGGTCACGAACGCTTCTGATCACGACCAAATCGGGTTCCGACCAAAAAATTCACAAAAAATTTTAATCTGGTAACGAACGGGTGGCGATCAAACACGGCCGTGGCCGATTTCCCCTTCCGTGCCATTTTTTTGTTGAATTACACAACGCGTAACAGTTATCTATGTAACTTTTGTTACATAAAATTCCTAGTAAGATATTAATTTTGTGAGTGTAGTCATACCCCTCCCCCCTCATTCAAGCCATAATTTAGAGAGCGAAAGCGCTGAGTACGTAAATCGCTCACGTAATAACCCGTTAATCTCTTCTCACATCATTCATACGATGATGCGGTGAAGTAAACGTTCATACGATATTACGGTGAATGCTTCCAAAAACAATACTGTAAGCAAATATTACTGTTAACTTACTTTCAATAGAAACATGAATTTCTCGTGCGAATATTCTCTCTCTCTCTCTCAGAATCGACCGACTGATGTAGCAGACGAAACAATCATCTTGTTGAACGATTCCAAACCTTGACGCAGCAATATTAGTTTTCCCTGTTGTTCAAGGTTTTCTCAGTGTTATTCAATGTTTTTACATTTAGTTTACTATAACACTGTGAATTCTATGGCATAATTAACTATTTTTGTGCTTAAAAATTTTTAAAAAACAATATTTACGTACAGTTCGTAGGAGTCTGGAACGGATTAATCGTATTTACATACAATCCAATGGGGAAATTAGGTTCGAGTCACGACCAAATCGGGTTGCGACCAAAGTTATGGAACGAATTATGGTCGTGACCAGAGGTTCTACTGTACTCGCTTGAGGCTTAGTCGACCTATGAGAGGCCCTGGACCAGTTCAGATATTCCTCTCTGGTGTTTGGGGTCGTGAGAGGGAATCAAACTCTATGAGTATGGGTTTCTGTGGGTCTGTATGGGTCTCTATGAGTATGGGTCTCTGTGCAAACCCACAGAGACCCATACCCATAGACACCTGCCCGCCCACCCACCATACCCACCCACTATACCCACCGTACCCACCCACCCACCGCCCGTACCTCAATGCAGCAGGGCAGGTGTTCTTCGATGGCAGGTGAATCGAAGAGCACCTTGCCGGTGGCCATTTCGGCCAAGGTACAGCCCAGGCCCCACATGTCCACAGCGGAGGTGACATCGTAGCCCAGCAGCAGCTCCGGGGCCATGTAGGGCAACGTCCCACCCACGTTTTTGGCTGCACAGCAACAACAACAACGACGATGAATATGAAGTAGTCCCTCCGTCAACAGCGACGTGGGGGGAACAAGTTTCTCTTTTTGTCGGCTAAACGCGTAGTCGGCTTCTGCGACCGATATTTCATGGCGGAGGCGAGTTATTGGGTTGGACCGCGTACTCTGGCTGCCTGCCTGATGATGATGCTCAGCTGTAAATGCTCGAATTGTAAACGTCGTAGTGGGTTTACATCTCCAGCACACCGGTTAGTGCTGTGCAAGTGGCGAATTGGCGCGTCCTGTTTACGTGACGCTGAACCTCGCCGGCCGGCTGCGTTTAAATTGACGCCATCTAATCCCCCCCCCCCAAAAAAAAACTCCACGCATGCACGCAAGGCCACTCACTTTTATGCTTCAGGTAAAAGCTGCACCCGAAGTCGGTGACCCTCACTTTGCCGGTCGCGGTGAGCAGAATGTTGTCCTGGACAAAGGGGAGAGACAGAGAAGGAATTCCACGCTCTGAGGTTACGGCGAGAGTGTCCAGCCAGCAGTGGGTCGATCACGCAAAGTGACGCATTGACACCCACACGGGCAGCCCCCCCCCCCCCCGACTTGCGACACGGGCGACGTGCCTGAGACCCGTTCAAAGTTGTATTTTACTACCAGGGTGTAAGGCCCCGCTGAGCTGCTGTGTAGGTCTTTTATCGGAAACGACCCGGCCATCACGTAATGACAGCAGCTCAACCAAGGGGCTGATATCATCGTCAGCATCATCATCATCAGCATCATCATCATCAGCATCATCATCATCAGCATCATCAGCATCATCATCATAATTGCGTGGACATGTATAGCAGCAGCCAAACACTCTAGAGACGTGTTTCAACAAGCCCATAGAGACCCATACTCATAGAGACCCATACTCAGAGAGACCCACACAGACATAAAGATCCACATTCTCATAGAGACCCACATACTCATAGAGACCCACATACTCATAGAGACCCATACAGACCCACATAGACCCATACTCATAGAGACCCAAACAGACCCACAGAGACCCATACTCATAGAGACCCACAAAGACCAACAGAGATCCATACTCATAGAGACCCACACAGGCATAGAGAGACCCATACTCAGAGACCCACACAGACTTCGAGAGACACAGACTAAAACTAAGCTATGTTTTACTTTACTAGGTGTAAGGCCCCACTCTGAGCTGCTGTGCAGCTGTTTTGTCGGAAGCTCCCTGGCCATCACAAACGATAGCTCAACAACGTGGGCTGATATCAACATCATCATGCGGAAAGGTTACAGCAGCGGTCAAATACTCTAAACGCGTGGTCATGTTGATTCTGAACGTAGAGGGAAAAACTGGAGGGCTTGGAGGAAAATCCACGTGACCACCACGGGGAGCGAGAGAGATGCAAACTCCAAATATACAGCAGGAGTCAGGGTCGGGATCGAACCCACGACCCCCTGTATACCAGGCGAGGTAGTTAACATCTCCTAGCCACAGCTGCCTACCGTCAACCTGCTACCTCTATCTGGAAGGAGGAGGTGGCAGAGTCACAGTAGATTGACGAGCCAGCGCATCGACCCCGCGATCAACCGTGGCCGGCCTGCCTCCGCGCCAGCTAACCGAGCGCCCTGATGAGAGGGCGTGACCACCGCGCCCGCTCCGCTCACCGGCTTGATGTCCGCGTGGACGATGCCCCGCCCCTTGGCGTACAACAGGAAGTCGAGGATGGCCCTGGTGTGCTCCCTCAACCGCCTCACGTAGATTCGCCCGATGCTTCCTTTGCTCATGACGTCGTAGAGGCTCTTCCTGGCACGACAACGACGACGACGTTTAAACCCCTTTCCCGTTCCGATGACGTCCGCTCGGCGACCCACGACCCGGACCCCAAACCGACTTGTGCCACTTGGTTAGTTTTGGGGGGAGGGGTCATGAAACGCCTCGTCGCTCCGCGGAATTCATCCTCGTTCTCGCCGCGCCGCACTAGCGCCAAGGGAACTGAATGTTTAGTGATAATAACTTCATTATGATTTTATTATAATTTCACCATGATTATGTTATTCCCTTTTATTATTTCATTACTATCATTTTATTACTATCATATCACAATTTAACAATAAATGTATTCTATTTATTATTTTTTATTATCAATATTTCTTAATATAAATTTGTATTATAATTTTAATTAGCAATATATTCGTATTATTTCATTATAATTTCCTTATCTTATAATTTTTTCCGTTATTTAATTGCCATATTATTGTTAATTAGAATTTTTTCATTATTCACCTATTAATATCGTATTATTAATATATTTTACTAGCAGGTGTACCCGTTCTTCGCACGGAAATTAATAGTTTAGTCCACAGATGTGACGTCACCGCTCACTGCCGTGCAATAGATTATATCCATTATTCCCCCCCCCCAAAATACAAAAGTCTATTTTTATACTTTTTACATTGTGTACAGTACGGAAGCTACCCACGTGCCAAATTTAAAGTTGTTTGCATGTTGGGAAGTATGCAAAACATTTCGAACAGACACACATATCCACACATTTCCCTTTTATTTCTATGTAGATTCTCATGAAAAAAATAAATGTGTGATTCATGGGGAGCATTTCCGTGAGTCGCGTCTTCCGCAACCCGGGGGACTTCCTGCGTCTGATTTGTCGCCACGGTGTTCTGCGATTGTCGATAACGCAGCGGTTCGCTGTGCTGAGCTGCTTGACCCACGCGGGCCATGTGGACGCGTGCTGCTCGACTTCCCAGAGCTTTGGAAACTCGATTGCCAAACAAATTGTGCTTGTAAAATTGTCAGATTAATTATTGCATAAATTAATTATCAAAATAGTAATTAAATAAGTTACGTATTCGATTAAATTAACTGATTTAAAGAGGCGAGACATATTTTGATGAATTGTTAACTATCTTTAAACTCATTAAATAAACTGCAAAAATAAGTTAATTATGAAAGGTATGAAAAAAAAAGCAATTTGGGAACAAATTAGAAAATTAATCCCCCCCCCCCCCACTTTGCACAAGAGCACAGAAGCCTGATCACCACATCTGTGCCTCTATATAAGGAACGAAACAGGTGGAATTCTCCACAAAATGTGGCTGTCGCCTGATGAAGCCAGTTGTAATTACTGGCGAAACATCATACTCAGAGATTGGAAATGTTGTGGCTTGGCTCTCCAACACACTGTTGTGCTGTACCATTATACTCCACTATACACTACTATACACTACTATACACTACACTTTCCATTACACTGTACACTACACAATACACTACTATACACTACTATACACTACACTACTATACACTACACTTTCTACTACACTATACACTACACTATACACTACTATACACTACACTTTCTACTACACTATACACTACTATACACTACACTATACACTACTACACTTTACACGACACTACACAATAGTACTGTACTAGTAACGAATTGGCACGTTCTGTTTGCATGACAACCCTTACTAGTTGGCTATGTTGGGTGGTGGCGGGTTTAACGACACAACATTTATATATTTACTTAATCTAACCAAAAATACCTCTATTATGGATGATATTGGTCGCGAAAGCCCTGCGTGTGAAACTCAATCAATAAATGTGATAAATCGATAAATCTAGTTGCTTGATCATATGTTAAATAAATATTTATTCCGAAATAAATCAACTATCGAGCGGAGCAATGGACACGCACACGCACGTGGGTGGGTGGGTGGGAAGGGGAGGTTCGCGTACTTCAAGAGCTCGACGACGAGGCAATTGTGTCCGCGGAATTGGAACGTGTCCAAGACCCGGATGACTCCGTAGCGCTCATCGCTGGCCTTGCCCTGCAGCTCATTGGCCACCTCCAGCTCCGTCCTCTGACGGGCCGCTGTCGAGGAGCTGTGCAGCGGGAGGGGGAAGGCCACGAAATCAACGGTGACTCTGTGGGTGACTCGATGGGTGTCTCTGTGGGTGTCTCTGTGGGGGTCTCTATGGGTGTCTCTGTGGGTGTCTCTGTGGGGGTCTCTGTGGGTGACTCTGTGGGTGTCTCTGTGGGTGACTCTGTGGGGGTCTCTGTGGGTGACTGTAGATATCTGTGGGTCGGGGTGTTTCTGTGGGCCTCTGTGGGTCTCTAAGGGTATGGGTGTCTCTGTGGGTCTCTCAGGGTCTCTATTAGTCTGGGTGTCTCTGTGGGTCTCTAAGGGTCTGGGTGTCTCTGTGGGTGTCTCTGTGGGTCTCTCAGGGTCTGGGTGTCTCTGTGGGTGACTCTGTGGGTTACTCTGCGGGTTTCTGTTGGGTCTCTATGGGTATTCATTCAGACTCTGTCGCCTCGACAGACCTGGTTTTCACCTGAGGACGGCTGCTTGCGTTGTGGCCGAAACGTCGTGAGAATTATTTTATTGTGTTTTATTTTTATTATTTTATTACTTCCCTTCTACGTGACTTTACCGAAAGAACCAAGAAGATGAATCCCTGCAGTCACGAAAGCTTTAAATAGAAATTCTCTATGGGTATTTTAGTTCATAGTTAGCAATAGTTGTACAGCAGTTAATATTTTGTTAGTTAACTTTAGTTCATAGCAGTAGTCTTACGGCACGTTATTATTTTGTGAGTTCATAGCAGCAGTTTTACGGCAGTTAGTGCTTCTTTTTAGTTAGTTCATAGCAGTAAGTTTTCATAGCAGTTAGTATTCTGTTACTTTATAGTTAGCAGCAGTTTTATGGCAGTAAGATCTTGTTAGTTTATAGTTAGCAGCAGTTTTAGGGCAGTTAGTATTTTGTCAGCGAGTCCATAGTTATTGGCAGTTTCACGGCGGTGCCTCCAATCATTTGATGATTATTTTTCGAGAGCGCGGGCCACCGCGGAAGGCCCTCCGACTCACCTCCAGGGCAGCGACAGCATCTTGACGGCCACGAGTGTTTTGGTTTTGTGGTCGAGGCACTGCAGCACCAGGCCCTGGCCTCCCTCGCCAATCATCTTCTGCACCTCATAGCGGTAGTGGAGCTGTTCCTTGCGGACCTAGGAGGCGAAGGCCAGTTGTCAAGAGTCGTCGCCATCAGAGCGTCAAATGTTAGGTGGTTGCAGCAGCAGTCCGGGCTTCCACGACCGCCATTATCAGCTATAGAGGTTTCTTTTTGCTTGGGTGTTAGATCGCGGAAATGTATAAATGTTTAGTTAAACTGCCGAATGCTTGACTTAAAGCTTTCGTGACTGCAGGAATTCGTATTCTTGGATCTTTCGGTAAAGTCGCATAGGTTCAAAGAAAAAAATATAAATAACAGACAACTGGGACGTTTCGATCGCAACGCAAGCGGTCATCTTCCTGTTATTTTTTTATTATTTTCTTTGAACCTATCTACGTGACTTTACCGAAAGACCCAAGAATACCGAATGGCGTTAAAACTTGGAGGGATTTAACTACACATATTTGGACCATCTTATTTGACGGGCACTATTCTTTAGTTACCGTACAGTTTTCTGATAGACAGCCAGTTTTGTTTTATCATGTTTAGCTTCTTTTTTCACACACTGGTTTCCTGCTTTAAGTTTTACCCACCCAGCAACATAGCGAGGGGCTGTTTCTTCCTGACCTGCTTTTCTGCTTCTACCATCTACGTAACAAAGGCTCAGTCCCATTAGAAGCAGTCGCACCTTAACAACTCTGGCACCTCCCAGCTCAACCAGTCTACATAACAAAGGCTCAGTCCTAGCAGCAGCCTCAGCCGCAGCAGCCTCAGCCGCACCAACCTTACCATAATAAAAAACTCCTCCCCCCCCTCAACCAGTATATATACAAGGTCGGGTCTCTTGGAATTTCTCTTTACTTGATACAGCAATCGTGCTGTGACAGTTCCACCTGAAGACGGAAGCTTGTGTTGCCTCCGAAACGTCGTGATTTTTTATTTTACTTTTATTAATTTTAATTTTATTTTTTACCTACGTGACTTCACCGAAAAAACCCTAGAGTACTTGGGGGGGGGGGTTGTTCGCCTTTTTGCGTTTATCCATCTAACACTGGGTAGTGAGACACTGGTGGCGAGACACTGGTGGCGAGACACTGGGTAGTGAGACACTGGTAGTGAGACACTGGTAGTAAGACACTGGGTAGTGAGACACTGGTGGTGAGACACTGGGTAGTGAGACACTGGTGGTGAGACATTGGGTAGTGAGACACAGGTTGTGAGAAACTGGTAGTGACACACTGGGTGGTGAGACACTGGTAGTGAGACACTGGTAGTGAGACACTGGGTAGTGAGACACTGGGTAGTGAGACACTGGTAGTGAGACTAGGTCCTAAAGAAGGATGCTCTCTCCGGTGTAGACCAATCAGTTTCAAAGGCAATGCCATACATTATCAGAGCATGTTTTTGTCTGCATGTTCACCACAAGTATGTATTTTATGTCCAGAAAGGCTACAGCCTATTGCTACGCTGTTAAATGCCCCACCACTGAGCTGCTATGTAGCCCTTGTTTCTCAAGAGCGACCTGGCCATCACAAATCATTGCTCAACGAAGTGGGGCCTCATCTTTATCACCATGTGGAAATGTACAGCAGAAGCAGCCAATTACTCTAAATGTGTGTTGACGTTGTTTCTAAATGTGGAAGGAGAAAAATCCACGCAACCACGGGGAGAAAGATAGAGACGCAAACTCCAAATATACAGCAGGCGTCAGGGTCGGTATCGAACCCACGACCTCCTGTATACCAGGGGAGGGAGTTAACATCTCCTGGCCACCACGGCTGACGCCGTGAGTGGATTAGCCAAAGTTTACTACATATGGTGCGTAATAACTTTAACACTTTCACAGAGACCCACAGACACCCAGACCAATAAAGACCCAAACAGATCCTTAGACACCCACAGAGACCCCCAGAAACCCGTAACACAAAACCTTAACTGACTGTCCGTGTCTGGTGGTGGTGGCAGGTTGAACGATTACACATTTATACTCATGCCTTCTAACCCAACAAAAACCTCTGTGGGTGTCTAATGGTGTCTCTTTGGGTGCCTTTGTGGGTCTCAATGGGAGTGGGTCTCTATGGGTGTCTCTATGGGTCTCTGTGGGTGTCTCCTTGGGTCTCCATGGGTGTCTCTGTGTCTCTGTGAGCCTCACAGGGATGTAGTTGTTGTTATCGTCGTCGGAGCTGTCGGTGTTGTTGCCACCCCGGGGTTTGTCGACCTTGTCCAAAGTGAAGAACCATACTTGTTTCATGGCCTCCAGCTCCAGCTTTTGGCGATGACTTAGCTGAGGCCCAAAGAGATTCAGGATCGCTGCACACGTGACAACAATAACAACATCTTAGATTTTTAACTATTTCTGTTTTGTTTACATGCCAGGTAAGGCCCCCGCTAGAGCTACATCGTCATCGTCGTCATTATCATAACATGGAGACTCATCACTCCACTCAGACCCACAGAGACCCACAGAAACCCATACTTGTGTAGGACTTGAAATGTCACGCGCCCCGCGTTATGTTGCTATGCGAGCGAGCAGCGTACAGTGGGGGCAACTGAGGATACAGTTGTTGTTGTGTGCCATTGAGAGGGAGGTCATTAAGAGACACCACAGGTGTTAAGGGTAACGGAGGACGCAGGCCGGTGATTGGTCAGGAGGGTGAGTGGCTGATGACTGGCGGCCGGGCTGATGGCGATAACATGGTCACGTGAGGCTGGGGGCCTGGGGGCGAGTAGCAAAGCGGGGGATGAGATAATTAATTGGGGCTGATTGGTTCGGGTATAAAGGCACAGCGTAACGGAGAGACGGGGGTCTTGGGGGAGTGTTGGAGTCGGAGATGGAGACGGTGCCTGGGACAGAGACGGAGCAGCAGGGAGCAGGAATAGATACAGATAGGGTAGCAGTGGATAGAGAGAATACAGCGTACAGTAGCAGTGGATAGAGAGAATACAGATAGGGTAGCAGTGGACGGAGCGAGTACTGAGTAGGGTAGCAGCGGAGTAACGGACCTAGGGGGAGAGAGAGAGAGAGCGAGCGAAGTCGCGGAGCGAGCGAACGGAGAGACATGGAGTGATGACGAGGAGGTGTGAACTATATGTGTGAATAAAAGAGACGAGAAAGACAAGAAGCTGTCGCATCAGTAAGAGTCCTACACTTGTATCGAACCATAGAGACCCACAGAGACCCATACTCATATAGATCCATAGATCCACAGATATCCATGCTCATATCGAACCATAACGACCATAGAGACCCATACTAAAACTAAACTATTTATTTTTATTTTGGCAGGTAAGGCCCCACAGAAGTGGCTGTGATCTTCATCACGTGGAAATATATAGTGGCCGCCAAATACTGTATACCCACGTAACATGGCTGCCATGACATCCCTCGTGCAACATGGACAAAATGACAACCCCCATGCAATATGGCTGCCATGACATCCCCCATGCAACATGGCCATCATGACATCCCTCATGAAACATGGCCGCCCTAAAGACCCCCATGTATAATGGCCATCGTGAAATCCTGCACGTAACATGGCCATAGTGACGTCCCCTATGCAGCATGGCTGTAGTGATGTACCCCATGCAACATTGCTGCCGTGACATCCCTCATGCAAAATGGCCACAATGAAGTCCCCCATGCAACATGGCTGCCATAAAGTCTCATAAACAACATGGCCACCGTGAAGTCCCTAATGAAAAATGGCGGTAGTGACTTCCCCCCATTCAACGTGGCCATTTTTGCTGACTGCTGTTCCTCACCTCGAGGCGATTTACTGAGGATAGGGCCGGTGCCGGCTGCGGACAACGCGCTCCACGTGTTGCCAGAGACTCCCTCCCTCCTTGCTCCAGCTTGGCTCGTCTACATGCACATACACACATAATAAACAATATTGGAGTACGCTCCTCTACACACAGACTTCAAATAAACAGTAGACATCAGGTCGACCTCCTGGAAACCAAGTGAGGTTGTTAATATCTCGCCATTGTGGTGCCACAGAGTAGTGTACAGGCATCACAAACACTCACTACATCTCCCGGAGGATTGTTCCGCTGTTCGGTTCGCAAGTGCGAGTTGTAAGTCGATGTTAAACAAATATATATTTCATGGAAGCTTGTTTGTAGTGTGGGTGGTGTTTGTAAGTGTGGGTGGTGTTCGTAAGTGAGGGTGTTGTTCGTAAGTGAAGGTGGTGTTCGAAAGTATGGGTGGTGTTTATAAGTGCTATTGGTGTTCGTTAGTGCTGGTAGTGTTAGTAAGTGCTGGTGGTGTTCGTAAGTGAGGGTGGTGTTCGTAAGTGTGGGTGGTGTTCATAAGTGTGGGTGGTGTTGGTGAGTGCTGGTGGTGTTCGTAAGTCGAGCGTAGGGGCCCATGCGTACCTCCATGGTGTTGATACTCAGAGTGGCTTCTCTCACGCAGCAGTCCCCAAGGTCTCTGTGTGGAAAGCTGTGGGTGGGTGGGGGGGTGGAGATGGTGTAGAGAGTCACAACACGAACTCACATCCTCACCACTTTCTCTCATCCCCCAACCAGTAACCCACCATTCTAACCACGAACCCCATCCTCACCACAAACTCACAACACGGACTCACATCCTCACCACAAACTCACAACACGGACTCATATCCTCACCATGAACTCACAACATGGACTCACATCCTCACCACAAACTCATATGAACTCACATGCGCACCACGGACCCACATCCACACCACGGACCCACACACTCACCACGAACCCACAACATGGACCCACACACTCACCACCAACCCACATCCTCACCACTGACCCACACACTCACCACGAACCAACAACACGTAACCACACACTCACCACGCACCACATCCACACCACGAATCCACACACTCACCACGAACCCACAACACGGACCCACACACTCTCCAAGCACCCACATCCTCACCACGGACCCACACACTCACCACGAACCCACAACATGGACCCACACACTCACCACGCACCCACGAACCCACAACACGGACCCACACACTCACCACGAACCCACAACACGGACCCACACACTCACCATGAACCCACAAAACTCACCTCGTCAAAAGTTTCGCTCGGATGGCTTCAGCAGAAGTTGTTCGAAAGGCGACGATGATGAAGCTGAAGCAGCTGAAGTTTAAGAAGCTGCCGTCTCCTTCACGCCCGTCTCGAACTCTGAGGAAGCACGTGGTGATTGCGACGTCACCGGTGATGTCACAGCTCGAGGGACTTGACCACGCCCCCTTTAGCCACGCCCTCCGAGTGACGTGCCAGTGCGCGACCACGCCCCCGGAAGCCGCCCCCCGCCCCTCCTCTTGGGGCGATCTCCACCCCCAGCTTCTACTTCCGCTTCCGGTCAGGGCGAATGGCGGCGATGGCGGGAAAAATCTGAACCCTGTCTGGGCCTCCTCGTGGTCGACTCAGCCTGAAGATGCCGACACGGGGCTCTGTGTGAGGTGAGTCTGTGAGTCTCCGTGTGTGTCTGTGTGAGGTGAGTCTGTGGGTCTCTGTGTGTGTCTGTGTGAGGTGAGTCTGTGGGTCTCTGTGTGATGAGTCTGTGGGTCTCTGTGTGATGAGTCTGTGGGTCTCTGTGTGATGAGTCTGTGGGTCTCTGTGTGATGAGTCTGTGTGTCTCTGTGTGGTGAGTCTGTGGGTCTCTGTGTGGTGAGTCTGTGGGTCTCTGTGTGGTGAGTCTGTGGGTCTCTGTGTGGTGAGTCTGTGGGTCTCTGTGTGGTGAGTCTGTGGGTCTCTGTGTGATGAGTCTGTGGGTCTCTGTGTGGTGAGTCTGTGGGTCTCTGTGTGGTGAGTCTGTGGGTCTCTGTGTGGTGAGTCTGTGGGTCTCTGTGTGATGAGTCTGTGGGTCTCTGTGTGATGAGTCTGTGGGTCTCTGTGTGGTGAGTCTGTGGGTCTCTGTGTGGTGAGTCTGTGGGTCTCTGTGTGGTGAGTCTGTGGGTCTCTGTGTGATGAGTCTGTGGGTCTCTGTGTGGTGAGTCTGTGGGTCTCTGTGTGGTGAGTCTGTGGGTCTCTGTGTGGTGAGTCTGTGGGTCTCTGTGTGGTGAATCTGAGTCTCTGTGGGTGTCTTTACATTTCCACACGATGATAATGTTATCAGCCACTTGGTTGAGCTATCATTTGTAATAGCCAGCGCTACATAGCTCCTTACCTGGTAACATTTAAAATCTTTAGTATTTGGGTCTCTATGTATCTCTGTGGGTCTCTGTGTGTGTCTCTGCTTGTCTGTGGATCTCTATGTATATCTATGGATCTGTGTGTCTCTATGGGTCTTTGTGTTTTTCTATGGGTCTTTGTCTTTACGATTCTCTGTGTATTTATATGGTTTTCTATGTATCTCTATGAGTCTGTATGTATAACTATAGGTCTCTGTCTCTATGGGTCCTTATGTATCTCTGTGGGTCTCTCCGTATCTGTATGGGTCTCTATGTATCACTATTGGTCTCTGTGTGTCTCTATGGGTCACTTTGTATTTCTATGTATCTCTATGGGTTTTTATATATCTCTATGGGTCTCTGTGTGTCTCTGGATCTTTGTGTGTCTTTATGGGTCTCTATGTATCTTTATGGGTCTCTGTGTGTCTCTATGGGTTTCTGGGTGTCTCTGTGTTATCCTTGATCTGTGTGTCTCTATCGGTATCTATGTATATCTATGGGTCTCTATGTATCACTATGTATCTATATGTATCTCTATGGGTTTCTATATATCTCTATCGATCTCTATGTATATCTATGGGTCTCTACGTATCACTTTGGGTCTCTGTGTGTCCCTATGGGTCTCTATGTATCACTATGGGTCTCTGTTTATCTCTATGGGTCTCTGTGTATCTCTGGATCTGTGTGTTTCTATCGGTCTCTATGTATCTCTTTCGGTTTCTATGTGTGACTATTGGTTTTTATGTGTCTCTATGGGTCTCTGTGTGTCTTTATGGGTCTCTATGTATCACAATGGGTCTCTGTGTGTCTCTATGGATTAGCGTGGTTTCTTAAGCGAACTGGGGAATGTGGTGGGCGCGTAAAATGGGAGATGGTGGGAGCTCTATGGGATTGTCCGGCGAGTGCGATTGTAATGCGTAGTGCGGATCGGTAGGGAGGCTTATGTCATGTAGGGAATGTGGAGGGTGGGTAAAGTGTGAGCCTATGGGAGTGGCCGGCAAGTGCGATTGTAATGCGTAGTGCGGATAAGCGTTGTTTCTTAAGCGACCTGGGGAATGTGGGGACGGGTAACGTCGGAGACTATGGGACTAGCCGGTGAAGGTGATTGCAATTTGTAGTGCGGATAGGTTAGGTAAGCTCTGTCCATGACGGCCCGTGCAGAACTCATTAATTGTAACTCAGACACGTGCCCCACCCCACTTGTGACGTCACCACGGCACTTATGCCAGGCTAGGTGCATGCACTCTGAGGCCACGTGAAGTGTCGATGGGTCGCTGCTGGCAGGAGGTCACGGGACAGACCCAGCAGGTGCCATGGGTTGACTGCTGTGCCAGGCTAGGTGCAGGAGGAGGCCACGGGACAGACCCAGCAGGTGCCATGGGTTGACTGCTGTGCCAGGCTAGGTGCATCTGACGACAAACATCTGGGCAGTTCACCATCATTGGTTCAAGCAGAGCTTGTCTCTTGCTTCTGCTGATGAGACACGGAGTTGGGCAGACTCCAAATATACAGCAGCAGCAGGCATCGACAGGGTTGGGATCGAACCCACGACCTCCTATGTACCAGGCGAGGTAGTTAATATCTCATCAGGGTCAGGATCGAATCCACAACCTCTTGTGTACCAGGCGAGGTAGTCAACATCTGGACCAAAGTCACCTGAGACCCAGGCAGCAGCAACTCGCCACAACAAACACAATTGCAAAGTTCTGTTGAGTCAGCTTATTTATTAACAACAACAATCGATAAACAAACAATGGTCTAGATATATATTATTACATTATAATATTTTTTTATCTCTATCCTAACTCTTCACACATGCACGTGGCTAAGCAGGCTCTAGTCCATTGGGTGGTGAGTGTGGGTGGTGTGGGTGGTGTGGTGATTGTGGGTGGTGAGTGTGGGTGGTGAGTGTGGTGTGTGTGGTGAGTGAGTGGTGTATGTGGGTGGTGAGTGTGGGTGGTGTGGTGAGTGTGGGTGGTGTGGGTGGTATGGGTGGTGTCGGTTGTGTAGGTGGGGAGTGTAGGTGAGCGACGATGACGACGATGGCGATGGGAGCTTCCCCTCTGGCTCCGCTCTGTGGAGAGAGAAGCACCAGCACCACAGCAGCGCGTCGTCGTCGTCGGGCAGGGCAGGGCAGGGCAGGGCAGGGCAGGGCAGGGCAGGGCAGGGCAGGGCAGGGCAGGGCAGGGCAGGGCAGGGCAGGGCAGGGCAGGCAGGGCAGGGCAGGGCAGGGCAGGGACCCGTCTCTCCACATCGCAACCACTGACAACATCATACACGGCAGTGCTCATTTTATGGACCACACAGGGATGGTCGGCCGAGTCAAACCCTGGCTAGAATTGAACTTGCAACTTTCCAACGGTGCAGCAACGGCCGTGATCACGATACTACCCAGGCAAATATTTGACGAGATTTGATGAATGTAACTTCTCATGTTTTGACACTCTTTTGTTGCATTGATGCCCATCGACTACCTCTCGTCTGAAGCTGCGAGAAGCCTTTGTCGGTCTGAGAATATTTCAGATTAGCGGTCGCCCATTAGGAACCAGTGAATTGACTGTAATTTGAATTTAATTGCGAGCGATTAGCACGCGCCACCAATAGTGAAAAGGCAGTGCCTTGCACCACGCTCAGCCATGCGGAATTTATATAGAATTTTAATGATGAGCGATGGCACATTCAGCTGGTCAGCGACCATCTTAAGCTTCTATAATGAAAAATAATAATATAGTTAGAAAAGTTATAGTGCTCCGCAATTAAGCAGAGTAAGGATTGCAGGGGAGGAGTGGCGGTGCATCGGTTGCGCTACTGATCTCTGCATCGGCCACAGGAGATCGCATCCCTGCCTCGGCTAACATCAGTGGCTGGGTGTGCGTCGAACCGGTCCTGGGTCTCCTCCTTTACAAACACGTACTGGCGGGCATGGTGAAGTACGGTTACACAGCCTCCATGACCAACACCGTATGAGGAGGTCTTCATTCAGTTTTAGATCGATGAAGGGTTGTAATTTTTTTTGATGATTAAGTATGAAAAATGTTTTAAATCGAAAAAGACGATGTACTTTGAACTTCTTTCGCACGGTACGTAGCCAACCATGCTAAATTGAACTATACTCAAACATGCGTAGATAGACTAACCACAATTTACCACCGAGCGTTGCATGCTTGGTGCGCCTGGAGACAGTTTAATGAGACGACTAAAACTGGTAACAGGACAGAAGACAAGGTGCTGTGGGTGTTGCAGTCCAGAGTCACATACACGCGAGTCAACTCAAGGTCTGCTCTCGTGTGCCAGAGCCTCAGTCGTTGCTGTCAGTTGTATGCCACGAGAGGATTTGTGTTGAAACAATGACGTTTACATATTGGCAGTACATATCAAGTGCTCTCAAACTGGAAGAATCAGCACATCGAAAGTAAGGAAAACGGGTGCAATGTATTTGTAACGGTCAGCATGAAACACGTGTCGTGTAACATGGCCAGATACGTCCGAGCTAAACGCAAAGCATTGGATCATGCTCATCTATAGCAACACTCCTGGGCATTTAGGAGAATATTCCACATTTCTATAATAGAGACGAGCCCATCAAATTTGACAATTTGTGTTAAGCACATGGAAGTTTGCTGTGTTCCTGCTACAAGTTGTCCCTGCAGTGTGTAACTTTACAGGTGACCTGCAGTGTGTAACTTTACAGGGTGACCTGCAGTGTGTAACTTTACAGGTGACCTGCAGTGAGTAACTTTACAGGGTGACCTGCAGTGTGTAACTTTACAGGTGACCTGCAGTGTGTAACTTTACAGGTGACCTGCAGTGTGTAACTTTACAGGGTGACCTGCAGTGTGTAACTTTACAGGTGACCTGCAGTGTGTAACTTTACAGGTGACCTGCAGTGAGTAACTTTACAGGGTGACTTGCAGTGTGTAACTTTACAGGTGACCTGCAGTGTGTAACTTTACAGGTGACCTGCAGTGAGTAACTTTACAGGTGACCTGCAGTGTGTAACTTTACAGGTGATCTGCAGTGTGTAACTTTACAGGTGACCTGCAGTGTGTAACTTTACAGGTGATCTGCAGTGAGTAACTTCACAGGTGACCTGCAGTGTGTAACTTTACAGGTGATCTGCAGTGAGTAACTTTACAGGTGACCTGCAGTGAGTAACTTTACAGGTGACCTGCAGTGTGTAACTTTACAGGTGACCTGCAGTGTGTAACTTTACAGGTGACCTGCAGTGTGTAACTTTACAGGTGACCTGCAGTGTGTAACTTTACAGGTGACCTGCAGTGAGTAACTTTACAGGTGACCTGCAGTGTGTAACTTTACAGGTGACCTGCAGTGAGTAACTTTACAGGTGACCTGCAGTGTGTAACTTTACAGGTGACCTGCAGTGTGTAACTTTACAGGTGACCTGCAGTGAGTAACTTCACAGGGTGACCTGCAGTGTGTAACTTGTAGCAGGGACAGTGCAAGGCTCCAGAGGGCTCGTCGTCCCCGGGAGCTGGGTCTCACCGAGCACGCGCAGCTGGGCGCTGGAGTAGATCTCGCCATGCTCGTTGCTGGCCACGCACTGGTACATGCCCTCGTCGCTCATGTTGACGCTGGTGATCTTCAGGCGGCCATCATCACGGCTCACCAATATCCTGCCCTGCAAGAGACACCGGATGCACGCAGACGCTCCGCACCCGAGCTCAGCAGCGTGCGAACACGTGTCGACTCGTTGATCGTCAAGCCTCACGATGTAGGCCTGGGCCTGCTTAGCTTCGCAGAGCCGATGAGGTCGGACGTATTCCAGGTCATTTGGTCACAGGCGATCCGTCGCGTTACTCACATTGTACTGTGAACATGCTGTCAGGCTTGCTCACAAAAAATTCCCAGAATAATTATTTTCATCATCTTTTCCTGACTTCGAGGAGAAATAAGCCGAACAAACCCTCGGTTCCAATTAACACGGCTCGAGCCCTGATGGGGGGAGATTGTTCCCGTGTAATCCCGGGAAGGCTTCGCACAGACGTGGCACGAGCGTGACCGGGTGTGTCGGGACCGCTGGTGTCGAGCAACACGTCAGGAATCGTGGGGCAGCTCCCACATCTTCCTGAAGCCAGTGGTCAAAACTCTGTATTGTGATGGTGTGAATACCCCTGTCCCCAGAGGGACAGTACTGTTGACTATTAAGAGAGTCACACAGCGCTCACTGAATCAACTTTGGAGGGAGGATTGGACAAATTATACTTCACTAAAACTGAACGAGTCATGCACTTAAATGATTATAATCATGCTTTTTTTAATGCTAACAATAAAACAAATCTCTTCTGTGTGAGTGATGAGAATTGCGATAAAACCATGCACAGCAGCAGCAGCAGCATGACTGGGTCATGACAACCGTAGTTTGTCCACCCGGTGCACTGCTCTTTGTGAGAAGGTGCTCCCGAAATCATTGCCATGGACACAGAGTTGAATATACAGCCTAAATAGACATACTTCATTGGAATTAGCTCTACCTTAAAGTGGTTGTACAAAAGCAAAAACCACCGAGAAAATATTTCACGTTAACGTAAGCAACTGCACGTTTCACGTTTCCAAGGAGGAAAAATGTTTTCATGTTGTAAAATCCATTATTACATTTGTTTTCAGTGGGGATTAGTTATTTAAGCATTTAACATTTTGCCCAACAGGCATGGGGGGGGGGGGGGGGTCAGTCTCTGTTACTGCCAACCACGCAGCACAATACAAAAATAAACCACCGACAGCCACTTCACACTGCTGGCATTCACTGGGAAGCCCTAAGTGATGACACGTTAACCTGGGTGTTACTGTAAACATACTGTCGGGTCCAACTTGAATAAATGTGGAGGAATCAATTTAATGAGCTGGGCTGCATTAGAGGCCGAGACAGAGCTGAGCCGTGACTAGGAACACGGCCTCAAACGAAGCCCAAAGGAGCTCCGGGGTGTGGTGTTGAGGCTCCAAAGAGAGTTCCGGTCACCTCTCCAGCGCAAGCTGCCCAGGCCTACCTTTAACTCCAGGAGGATTCCGTTCCGCAGCCACTGGTACAAGGGCGTGGGTGTCCCTGTGGCGTTGCAGCTCCAGTACAAGTCATTGCCAATGTGAATGTTTGCGTTCACGATTCCTAGAGTCCACTGCGGGCGAGCTGCAAGGAGGCAATCGAATGAAAGAAGAACGAAGGAAGGAATTAAACAAACACAGCAACTACGGATACTTTCTATCAAAATATTTGGGAAACCGACTTTCATGAAAAGGTAAAGGTGCAGCCCGGAAATTGCTTGCTCACGCTATTGCTGGGAGAAGGGCCTCTACTTCAGGGAGTTCTAGAGCCCCTACCACAACAACAGCTGCCGTTCACCGCTAAGTGGCGGTGACGTCTTCACGGCGCCTATGCTAGGTTAGGTGCATTTCAAGGTGACGTCAAGTGCTAAAGACTTGCTGCTGGCAGGCGATGGGATCGGAAGTCTGATTCCGCCGGCAAGACCAACAAAGTGGAAACCGGTCACAAAGCGTGCATTCCATTCATCGGCAAAAGCTCCGTAGTGAAACTGCAGCCTCACCGTGTACAAGGACCTCGGTCGAGGCGCTCGTGTTCCCCAGCTTGTTGTTGGCGTTGCACCGGTACGTGCCGTTATCGGAGGTCTGCACCTCCTCGATCTCCAGCACCGGCCCGGCCTTCAGCAGCAAGGCCCCCGGGCGGTGCCACAGCGCGGATAACGCCGTTTGTACGTACGCTTACATGTTGAACTTCTTTCGCGCCGTACATAGCCAACTGTGCTAATCGGAGGTGCGGGAGAAGGACGACACAGGAGGGCAGATAGAGGAGGAGATCAAAGGGTGAACGAGGGGGAGATCGAGGGGGAGATTGTGGAGGAAGTCGAGGGGGAGTTCACTAGTTTACTGAGGATGATGCTGCCAAGTAGATGTTTTGTAATGAGGTGGATGAAGCTGCTGCTGTGCAATTCCAATCGAGTAATTTGAGGGTATTTTTTAGCATTTGGATGTCTGATCAATACCAGTGACATTGAATGTATTTCTTCCGATAGAAGAAAACCAGGGAACCCAGAGGATACCCATGCAGGACAGGGGGGAAACCACATAGCAGGGTGCCCAAACCGGGCTTCAAACCCAGGCACTTCTTGCTGCGAGGCACAAGTGCTAACACTGCGCCACTCTGCTGTTCGAAGGTTGTGGAGATCACAGGATGTGGTGGAATAAGAAATGAGAACGGTGGATGCAACCAGAGGAGAATGGGCAGAGAAAAGAGGCACGTGGAGAGAGGATCAAAGGAGTGGACTCCATTCAAGAATGGGACCTCTAGCTTAGAGAGAACATGGAGTGTTCTTGCCAACAACATCTATACACCTTGTAGCAATTGTTTAACAAGCCTGACAAGGCCGATGAGACCCTGAAGGTCAAAACAAATACAGTTTTCTTGTTTCAACCAATGCTGTGGGATAATATTTGTCTCGAAGACTTCCTTTAAGCTGTATACACACAAACCAACCTTTAAATAATAATGGTTAGGTAGCATCGTCAATAATTCGCTGCAGGTCTTACAACAATGCATTGTCAGTACTTTTAAAACGCGTAAACACCGCAAGCCTGAGGCACGAAACTTAACACAGTGATTGATGGCATGCCAAGTAATTTACATAAAATCTATTGAGCAAGCCTGACTTAAGCACTCTAGTTGAAACGGAGCTTTTCATGAGACTTCTCCTACCATAGTGTGCATATATATAACTTCACGCAATTATTATATTTACACTGTGTACAATGCATCAAAGCAAAAAGTTAATATTTTATTTCATCCCGGGTCCCCATAGGTGCGCAGCAGCAGACACGCTCTTGAAGAGACAACTTGGGAGGTAACATCACGTGCCTCTGCCCGACACGCAACGGGGACCGGGATAATTTCCGCCACCGCCACACCGTGCAGACGCGTGGCCGCCTGCTCGTGGCGTGGCCAGCGGAACGTTGCCGGCTCGTTGTCGCTGTTGCTTAGACCACGGTTCATCGCCTCCAGCCTCGGGCATGGTGACCAATAAATGTGGTTCTTATTTTTATTATTGTTGTTATGGTCACAGAGCACAGGCCCCAAGGCTCAAAATTCCAAGCGACCAGCAACAAACAGCACTCATAACATTCCGGTTCTGAGTCCACTCGGCCTCTCATCCCGTCTCGGGGTTCGAGTGCGGCTCCCCCGAGTTGCGTTCACTGTCGTGCCGCACTTTGCTGGGCACGATGTTCGACGGTCCGCCAACAACCGCGTGTCATCGTCGAGAAAGACAGAGAAGGGCGGTGGGGTGGACGTCGGGCCCCACAAAAGCGAGCAGCTCAGCTCGGTTCAACAAAGAAGCTCACAGCAAGTGGAGCGAAGCGTCGGACATCGCGCAACACGTGGCACGACCCCAACGCACGTTGCCAGGGAGCTGCATGGCGGTGCAACGGCGATCGAGAGACGGTCTGTCCACCACCGCCTTAGAAAGGTGGAACTTCCATCACAGGCTCAGAGCTGTCATTGGGGATGAGCAGTGCGCAACGCTCGTTTGGCACCCTTGACAAATGATGCAGGTGAGGCTGCCATGAACACTCGTCCAAATTGATCGTTTCCATGGTGGGTGTCAGGTTTTCTTTCGGCCGAAACCTTGGTGTTTACTCTGCATCATATTGTGCAATTTGTTCACTTCCTCTACTGGCCTAATGTAGTTAGCCTCTTCTAAAGTTACATTTATCTAAATATATTTATTATTCAGGTGCAATGCATACTTTTTACTAAACCATTTTCACATTTTACTGTATTAATTTATTGTAATTTTTTTTTCAAGATTTATTAAACTTTCATGTTCAAAAAATATTGCTTTTTATTTCTCTTGATGTAATCTAGGGCACCGTTGAAAAAGAGGCCATGATGTGGCGTGCGCGTCAATGGGTGTCGGTTACATAGAGGAAGCGAGAATGCACAGGGTGACCATTTTTGAGCTCATCATCGAGAGACGCTGGAGCGAAGATGTGCTGAGCCAACCCCGACTGAATTCAACTTTCAACCTTCCGAACGCGAGCCAAGCAACATGATCACAGCATCGCCCTGCCAGATTAAAGATTCAAGAATCCATGGACTTCAAAAGTAAAAACATAAACTATTAAAAATCATAATCTATGCCAAGGAAAAGTATAAATAATTAATCATTATACTTTCAAATATTTATTAAACACTATGCTCAGTGAATGCAACATCTTTAAAGCAGTTGAGTTGTTGGGCGGCTTGGTGAAGGAGACATTCATTCATTAGCGAGGAAGTCACGCAACTTCCCTGGCGCAGTTCAAAGTGCCATTGACTTGGCAATGCCAGCAACTGGCGCGTCGCTAGCGCTGTGGTGACGCGCCTGCGTATGTCGCACGAGGATGCACACGAGCGGCTCATCATCACAACCCCACAAAAGGCTCTTCAGAATTCTCTCTGATGCTGTTAGCGGGGTCTTTTGCTCGCTCGCTGACACAGCACCTCTCCCTGGGTGTCTGTACTGCTGATTCCCCCCCCCCCCAACTCCGAGTCCAGGCTCAAGTCCTCCTTCCCTGCTGTTGGTTTGTTACATTCTTTGCACTTCCAAATCCACCCAAGCCATCGTTCACTCTGTTCTCCCCCACGGGTATGTTGACTGTGGACGTTATTGCAGCACGGTTCAGCATCTGCGAGGGGACACAGTAGTTCAGATGGCTGTGCACGGTGCCTTTGTGTGCACTTGGGTTCGCTTTCTAGCCACGGCTAACATGTAATCGTTTGCTGTTGTTTTAGCCAAAAAACGCGACCCTGAAGTTGACCACGCGAGAGACACGCACAAATCCCTCCTCCACGCTGATCGTGTGACATCACAACGGGCTCTGAGGGTAACCCGGCCCAAAGCGGGAACCCTTTCGGGAAAACGAGCCCCACGGCCCAAGCTAGGGTGAGCCACCCGGTCCAGTTACGGCTCACCAGGCCAGGCTGCCATGGGAATATCTGCTGAGTCCATTTGCCGAGTTTGTGAAGCGGGCAGCTCTGGTTTCAACTGTTCATGTAAATGCGGCCCAAGAATCTATTCTACAACTGAGACCGTCAGATCTTCACAGCACCCATCCTGTGATTGTCTATCTGAAGACACCTCGCTTTATTTGTATGTATGCCACCATGACTACAAGTGCAATTAAGTGTAATTCAGTGTAGAATAAATGGACTTCTCTTCCCACACCAATATAATCCAGCAGCACATTGACCTGTTTTGACCTTGGGGTCTCATTAACCAAACATTTTTACAGGCGAGGGTACTAGAGCAGGGGTGGGGAACCTTTTTTCTGCCAAGGGCCATTTGGATATTTATAACATCATTCGCGGGCCATACAAAGTTATCAACTTAAAAATTAGCCCGTTATATTTGGTCAAACATTTAATTAACTCACCCCTGTGATGGCTGGAACTGCTGCTCTTTGGCGAGGCGTGTATGTTAGCTGCTGTTGACGATGTTGCTACTCGCAACTGCTTTTCCAGGTTTGCTCCGAGATTTAATGAATTTCGAGTCCTGCCTGCGGTTGCCTTGGCAGGGCCAGACGAAATGATTATGCGGGCCTTATACGGCCCGCAGGCCGGACGTTCCCCACCCCTGGCCTAGAGCATGGGGCATAGTCATTTCAAAGAGCAATGAGGGATAATGCAGCAGTAAATGCTACTGGTGGAGAGCTCTTTTGGTGAGACGTGGAGATCGTGGTACTCACTTGCCCATCCCAAAGCACTCTAAGCGCAGCTTCTGTCCCACCAAGACGTCCATTGTAGGCGGTGGCCGCACCTCGAGACGCACGGCCAGTCTGCTCCCCACCGCTGTACGACAATCGCATCGACAAAGCAGTCCGACATTAGCAGCGCACGCAGTAGCAACGGCACACACACAGCAGCACAAGCAGCAGCACATGCAGCACATGCAGCGCCCGCAGCAGCTCCCGCAGCAACAGCAGCAGCACAAGCAGCAGCACATGCAGCGCACGCAGCACATGCAGCACACGCAGCAGCACAAGCAGCAGTACATGCAGCAGCAGCACATGCAGCAGCAGCACACACACAGCAGCACAAGCAGCAGCACACACACAGCAGCACAAGCAGCAGCACACACAAAGCAGCACAAGCAGCAGCAGCACACACACAGCAGCACAAGCAGCAGCACACACAAAGCAGCACAAGCAGCAGCACACACAGCAGCACAAGCAGCAGCACATGCAGCACACGCAGCAGTGCATGCAGCAGCAGCACACACACAGCAGCACAAGCAGCAGCACATGCAGCACAAGCAGCAGTACATGCAGCAGCAGCACACACACAGCAGCACAAGCAGCAGCACATGCAGCACAAGCAGCAGCACATGCAGCACAAGCAGCAGTACATGCAGCAGCAGCACACACACAGCAGCACAAGCAGCAGCACACACAAAGCAGCACAAGCAGCAGCACACACAAAGCAGCACAAGCAGCAGCACACACAGCAGCACAAGCAGCAGCACATGCAGCACACACATAGCAGCACATGCAGCACACGCAGCAGCAGCACAAGCAGCAGCACAAGCAGCAGCACACACACAGCAGCACAAGCAGCAGCACATGCAGCAGCAGCACACACGCAGCAGCACCCGCAGCAACAGCAGCACACACACAGCAGCACAAGCAGCAGCAGCACACACACAGCAGCACCCGCAGCAACAGCAGCAGCACAAGCAGCACAAGCAGCAGCAGCAGCGCCACTGCTATTTGCCGCGTGAGGTGGCGCTGCAAACATCAAACGTGAAGAGCGGTCAAAATGAGAAAAGTCCCCAGGTGCAGAAAGAGCACAGAAGCCAACCAATCAGCACCTCCGACTAGCACGGTTGGCCACGTACGGTGCAAAAGAAGTTCAACATACATACTTACACAAACCTCAAGTTCAAGCTGCAACCAAATTAGCCAACTAGATATGGACCCGACCCATAGCCACACCCATGTTGACTATTGTATTATAATTGGTTCTTTACCCTTCTATCTGGCAACAAAACTGACACCTTTTTGCAAGGAGTCATGTTTGCATAGACCGCAATACCTGCAGTCATATTACAAACAAAAGAACATAACTCTGATAATGTGCACTGTCCTCAGAGTTATGTTCTTTTGTTTGTATTATGACTGCAGGTATTGCGGTCTATGCAAACATGACTCCTTGCAAAAAGGTGTCAGTTTTGTTGCCAGATAGAAGGGTAAAGAACCAATTATCATATTTTTACTGGCAAATGAGGTCCCCATAGTGTAGACTATTGTATTGTTTGTTGTGCTACTATGGTGCTCAAAGCGGAACCCTGTATCGTGGGATTGGTGGAGATCGTAATGCGACTCACAAAGTGCATCATGTGACACTTCCACACTGCCGGTCTGCGAGAAGGCCAGGAGATGGCAGTACAAGTTGGTTTCTGATCTCTTTGTGCAGCACGTGTTTTCGTACTATCCCCCTGCACGCGTGGGTTTTCTCCAGGTACCGCTGTGGTTGCTTTTCAGACGCAAGGCACTTGTTTAAAAAGGAAATAACCACGTGGCCTGACCCAAACACAAATATGGATCACTGTATTGGCTAGGAAACCCCATTTTTATGGTGCATATCTTATCCACTCCTTTTCAATGTATTTATACTCCTTAGAGCAGATTTTGTACTTACTGGTTGTTATTATTCTTTCCGATGCAACTATATACTATATTTGATTATTTTAATAATTTAGGTATTGACACATAGCGCTTTAAGGCGATCCTTTTCATCAGAGGCGCTAAACAAAATGAAAGGTTTATTGATGGAGCCGCGAGTAAATAGTAACCAGGCCTCACAGTCCTTCTTGAGCTGCAAGCTGATGAAGGAGCTGTTGACCGTCTTGTTGAGCACGGGGCCCATCTGGCGGTGCAGGAGGCAGCTGTAGCGCCCCACGTCGTGCTGCTTCACTTGCGAGAAGTACAGGTTCCCCGTCGTCTGGGACACGAAGCGTCGCGAGTCCAGGCGGACGGGCGCTGGCGCCGCAGAGCCGTTGGTGTCCTCCTCAAAGAGCCACTGGAACTTGACCCCTGCGCGAGGCAAACGGTTACAATCGTCAGCGAGCGTTCGGTTTCCGCGTCACGCTTACAACGCAACCGCGAGGCGCTATGCTTCCCAGACGGCACAGTCTGCAGTAGTTCTGCGGTAGAGGGCAATGGTGCGGTGTGGTTTTTACCCAATCGAGTAATTTGTGAGTACTTTTCAAACTTGGACCGTGACGCTGGCGCACATTTGCCTCCTCTGTTTTGAGTAACATGGCAAGGTTTATAACGTCCACAGTGAAGCAGGCTGGTGCAGTGGTAATGCTCGTGCCTCATAGCAAGAAGGGCTTGTGTTAAAATCCCGACTCGGGTGTGACTCTACGGAGGGTTCGTAAGTTCCCCCACTGTCCTGCGTGGGTTCTCCAGTTTCCTCGCAGATAAATAAAATGGTACCTGGTATTGGCCAAACAGCCCAATGCTGAAAAGGTACTTGTAAATTACTCATTTGGGATCACACAGCAGCAACAGAGATACAACAAAATACTATAAACTAAACGAATGTTTTTATTTTACCATGTAAGGCCCATCGAGTCCTTTTTCAAAAGCAACCTGGCCACGAATGACAGCCCAATGAAGTGGATAATCATCACGTGGAAATATATAGCAGCCAAATACTCTAAATGTGGAACGAAAAAACGGAGAGAACACGCAAACTACAAATATACAGGTGTCAGGGTTTGGATCGAACCCACGACCTCCTGTATACCAGGTGAGGTAGCTAACATCTCACCACAGCATCACCCCGACTGATAAAACTTGGAAGGACCCAACTGAAAAAGTCTTGAGACTTAGTGAGGCCTTCCTGGCTAAATAGACATAATAATAATAATAAATACAACAGCAGTATTAACCAGGGTGGCTACGGGGCTCGGACTACTACTTGGCCGTGTCACCGCCCACAGAGTTCCACTCCCCATTATGACTGCTGTATCGGTGTCGATGAGCAATAGTAGCGTTCAAAGGCAAATGTCTCTGAGCTCATGAGAGCAATTGGAATGCAATCATCTCCGCTGGTGGTCCTGAAACGGTGGCATAAAATTCACACTCCCATGGCAGAGTTTTTTTAATAGAAATCTAAAATGCTTTCTGGAACACATTACCTTCAAAGCTGTTTTTTTTTACTCTGCAGGAAAATCCGCGAAACCTAATATGTGCCTCCACATGTTCTGCCATGTTCCATAATTCAATGTAAATTCGGCTGAATTCTCTTTTGCATGAATTTACATGAACTGACTTGGCGTCTGCATTACGCTGAGAAACTAAGCCGACCAAATCAGATTTCAAAAAGCCCTTTTCATTCCGAACCATCTAATATTTGCCGATAACAGTCATTATAACATCCAATGGATATTAACTCTGCAGGATATGTTAAAATAACTAAATAAAGAGGCTGGAAAGTTGGAGACAGGATAAATATGAGCAAAACAAAAGTTACTTTAAAACATATTGCTAAACAATGGGAGATGTCTAGAAATATACACATAGCCACCAGGCAGCGGTGACTGTGCCTGTGGCCGCCTGTCATCCAGCGCTCTGGCGATGGCAGCGAGGGTTGGTAGACCACCACACAAATGTTAGGAAACTCCCTTCCCCTGTGCGTTAAGGTGGCACACCATATTCTGGCTTGTCAGCAGGTGGTACAGCAAAAATGTGGTCTCTACCTGTTCCGTCTGTATGTTTCAGTTTTCAGTTTCATTTATTTGGTATAGCCCTGTGAGCCATTCGGCTCTTGAATCGGGTGCAACCGCAACAAACAAAAACATGGACAAGAAACATCTTAAAGTGACTACGTGCAAACATGTGATAGCGCGTTGCCCCCTCGCACACAGCGGTTTTCTCCAGATGCTCCGGTTTCCTCCCACGTGCATGAACGCTCATGAAATGGAAGAAAACATCTTTCTATATAGAGGACCGCAGAGCTTGAGCTCTTGTTGGCACCGGCTCACCGCCTGGCTGCTTCACCGCTCGCCTGTGGTTCCTCCTCGAGTCTCCGAGTTGTTCTCTCTCTGTGAGTGCGAGCGATTGCTGTGTGGCGGTATGTTGCAAGTTGACATTACTACGATGAGTTTGTCTACCAGGACAGCTATTGCAGGTGGACCAGAATTAAAATGATGAAAATAGGCAGACAAGAGGAGGTTAGATTTCTTTGAATATCTGGATCTTGATAATAAACAAGCAGAATACCAACGTATATGGCTCAGAAACAGCGTGGGCAATAATAACACAAGAAAACTAAAACTTCAAAGTGCAAAACGCAGCATAGAGAGATGCACGCTTGGAATTACCCCGAGGCACCGAAAGAGGCACACGTGGAGAGAGAGAGAGAGAACACACGCAGTGTGAAAGACACAATTCTAACCGTCAAAAAAGCAAGCGGACTTGGGCAGCACGTGTCGCTGTACAGCACGAGTAGAGGCAAAGTGGCAGCCACGGGTGCTAGCGCGTCGGGGAGGACATCCGCTGGGAAGCGATGAAATCAGCTCTCATGTCACTGCTGGAGGGATGGTTGCATCGCAGCACCACGAGGCGTGGTGACGGCTTGGGGAGGCAGTGGAATTATAATCACTAAAGATAATTATGATTGCTACCGAACTTTGCGTTCGCCTCAGGCTTGTTATATCAAGCACAAGAAAATGCATAAATTTGTCGGTAATTCTCCACATCATGCACTTCAGTGGGAAACATGGAATGAAATGTGGTCTCATTTAACATTTAAGAAAAGCATTTACTAAACTTTTCTAAATTACCGTAATCTTCCTGCCTCCTTATAGTATGGTCTATTATACTCACAAACCTGAGCAATGGATCCAATGCACCAATGCGTAATCTGCATGCGAAGGGAGAAGAAGGGTAACTTGGAAAGGAAGGATGGGCAATGGAGCGTTGTTAAACGAGAGGGAACGCTGATTTCTTCAATAAGAATTTGATATAAGTGCATAAAACCTGAACAGAGAATAAAATTAAGTTACATGAAAATGGAACTCGATGTATAAAAACTGAGTACCATATTTTCAATGTACCTAGTCAGCACTCAAATCCCATTAAAATCCTATTTGAATAAAAAGTTGGCAAATTTAATTTACTTCATCGAGGTCAACGTGCTATGCGTGACTAGTAGGTGGCAGGATAGTGGGCGGTAAGCGTCGTGCAGCACCGTAACAAGCACCTGGGTTTGATTCCCGATTTGTGTGCCTTTCTGTGTGGCGTTAGCATGTTCTCCCTGCGTTCTGCAGTGTGAGTGAGTGTGGAGTTTCTACACAGGTGATCACTAACAGCACTTGCCCCAACAATCCGTTAAGGCTTCACGAGGGATCTTTAAATTTCGATTTAAAGCTTTCGTGACTGCAGGGATTCATCTTCTTGGTTCTTTCGGTAAAGTCACGTAGAAGGGAAGTAATAAAATAATAAAAATAAAACATAATAAAATAATTATGTTTTATTTTTATTCTACGTGACTTTACCGAAAGAAACAAGAAGAGGGATCTTTATCTTTGGGATTTGTATATTTTCTTCATGTTCTGCATGGTTTTCCTCCGGGTTGTCCAGTTTCCCGCCACAGCTAAAATAAAACCCCACACACAATGTCACCGATGTGGGCCAAGCCACATGCCAATGGTGAAACATTGTCAACGTCGCAGCCTTCTGCAAAAGGTGGCAAGACCCTTGTGAAATAGTCTTGAGGCTGACCCTAGGTAAACGAACGTCATAGAATTAATAATATAGTCCTAATAGTAATTGTAAAACACGGAATGTATTGAATTGTAATTGCATTGCCAATAGTGAAACATGTGAACTAAACATCTATTTTTTCAAACCATATTTGTTTTTTTATTGTGAAATGTTGATTAAATCTTGATTTGAAGCTTTTGTGACTGCAGGAATCCATACTCTTGGGTTCTTTTGGTAAAGTCACGTAGGTAGAAAAAATAATAGATCACGACGTTTCGATCGCAACGCAAGCAATCATCATCAGGCGGAAGATGACGATTGCTTGCGTTGCGATCGAAACGTCATGGATCTATTACATTTTCCACCTACGTGACTTTACCGAAAGAACCAAAGAGTATAAATGTAGATTTATGGATTAAAATAAAGAAGACCGCTGCAATTTATAGTTCAGTGCCTGCACATGCTGTCAATCATAGTAGGTTCCATCAAAAACACATGATTTGACTTTCTTTCACTTCCCATTAAACAATAACAACCTGAATAATGTATACACGGTGAATATGTTCTTATTAAATTAATACCATGACATTTAATGTACTGTTCGCCGTCGTGAAAAGGTCACGGCATGAGATTTACTCCAGCCGACACACGCGGTCTCCAACACTCGAGGCGCGGATGCTGTCTTCGAGCACCTATTAAGGCGGGCATCGACTGGAACAGGCGCAGGGAGCTAATGTGTGACCAGTGGGACGGAACTCCAGACGACATGGGCAGCAGAGGAGAAGCGGCCAACTCCCACCCAGCGGAACTGAACTCGATGCTGGAGAGGGGAGCACGTGAAGAGGGGGAGAGTGAGACGACAGTGAGGAGCTAAGGCTTATCTATGGTAGAGAATGTAACGCACGTACGCAAGTCCTCTTCAAGGCTTTTGGTTGAACATCAAGGTAGGGCCATCAAAGCAGAATTGCATTTTATGACATTAATAAGTAAAACAAAAATAATCCCAGGCTTCCCATCCGAAGGATTGTCCAAGGGTGCTCATCTCATGTTTATAATGCCGAGCGCAGAGGTGGAAAGTCTTTGGGTAGGATTAGTATATCCAAAGCAAAACCATCACTGACTTTCCGCAAATTGACGCATATTTTATCGACTCCAGAGGGATGAAGGGATGTTTGTATGTATGTTGAACGTTCGCACCGTCCGTAGCCCACCGTGCTAATCGGATGTGCGGGATGAATCAATCCCCAACCGGGGATTGAGCGTACAGTAGCCACTGTGCCACCTTTAAGGTAGGACACCCAGACTATGAATACCCT